TTGTTTTAAATTTGAAGTAATTTGAAAGAAGCTGGGGGACTCCTTTTGTTCTGTTTTTGAACTAGTTTGAAAAAATCTTGGGGACTCCTTTTGTTTGTTCTTGAAGTTTAAAGGAATCTTGGAGTTTCCTGTCTTGTTTTTTGAAGTAATTTGGAAAGAATCCTGGGATCCCGTTGTGTTTTGTTTTTGCAGTAGTTTGAAAGAATTTCGGAGATCCTAAGTCTTGTTTTTGAAGAAATTTTAAAGAATCTCCCCGAACCCGTTTAGTTTTTTTGTTTGGAGCAGTTTGAAGGATCTCGGGAACTTAACCCTTGAAAGAATTTTAGGACCACTTGCCTTGATTTTGAAATAATTTTAAAGGATCTTGTAGAGCCCTTGTGTTTTGTTTCTGAAATACTTTGAAGCATGTAGGGCATCCCTTTTGTTTCTGAAGTACATAGTTTGAAAGAATCGTGGGGATCCCTTGTCTTGTTTTTGCAGTAAAATTAAAGAATTTCGGGGATCCAGTGTGCTTTGTTTGAAGTAGTTTGAAAGAATCTCGGGGACCACTTGTGCCTGGTTTTGGAAGTAGTTTGAATGATCTTGGGGGATCCCTTTCTTTTGAATGCTAAAATAGTTTGATAGAAACTCGGGAAACCTTTGTGCCTTCCTTATTTTTGAAATAGTTTTTGTAAGAGTTTTGGGACTTGTCACTGGTTTTTGAAGTAGTTTGAAATAATTTCTAGGAACCCTGTGTCAGGTTTTTGAAGTTGTTTAAAAGAATATCGGGGATATCTTGTGACTGATATTTGAAGTAGTTTGAAAATAATTTCGGCAACCACCTTTGTTTTGTTTCTGGTGTAGTCGAAAGAATCTCGGGGACTCCTTATATCTTTTGTTTTCAAGTATCTTGAAATAATCTCGGAGACCACCTGTGCCTGGTTTTCGAAGTAGTTTGAAGGATATCGGGGATCCCTTTCCTTTTGTTGTTAAAATAGTTTGACAGAATCTCGAAAAAGCCTTGTACTTTGTTTCTGAAATAGTTTTTGGAAGATTTTTGGAACTCGGCTCTGGTTTTTGAAGTAGTTTGTAATAATTTATAGGAATTCTGTGTCTGGCTTTTCAAGTAGTTTAAAAAAAATCTAGGGACCCTCTTTCGTTTTGTTTTTGAAGTACTTTAACTTTGAAAAAATCTTAGGAATCCCTTGCCTTTTCATTGAAGTAACTGGAACAAATCTCCAGGAATCCCCATTATTGTGTTTTTGAAGTAGTTTTAAAGAATCCGGGAGACCTCTTGTGAGTGATATTTCAAGCAGTTTGAAAGAATTTCGAGAGCCACCTTTGTTTTGTTTTTGAAGTAGTTCGAAGAAATCTTGAGGTTCCCCTACCTTGTTTTTGAAGTAATTTGAAAGAATCTCGAACCTCCCGTGTGTTTCGTTTTTGAAGTAGTTTGAAAGAATCTCAGGGGCCTCTTGTCTCTGGTTTTTGAAGTGATTTGAAAGAATCCTGGAGATACCTTTTGTTTTGTTTTTGGAATAGTTTGAAAAAATCTCAGGAACCATTTGTGCCTGGGTTTGTAACTAGTTTCAAGGATGTTGGGGATCCCTTTTCTTTTGTTGCTGAATCAATTCGATAGAATCTCGGAAAACACTTGTGCCTCGTTTTTGAAATAGTTTGTGAAAGATTTTTGGAACTTGTCTCTCGTTTTTGAAGTAGTTTGAAATAATTTTTAGTAACCCTGTGTCTGGTTTTTGAAGTAGTTTGAAAGAATCTCGGGGACCTCTTGAGTTTCGTTTTTCAAATAGTTTGAAAGCATCTCTGGGAACCATTGTGCCTGGTTTTTGAAGCAGTCTGAACAACTTCTGGGACTTTTTGTCTCTAGTTTTTGAAGTAGTTTGAAAGAATCTCGGAGACCTCTTGAGTTTCGTTTTTCAAATAGTTTGAAAGCATCTCGAGGAACCCCTGTGCCTGGTTTTTGGAGCAGTCTGAACAACTTCTGGGAATTTTTGGTCTCTGGTTTTTGAAGGAGTTTGAAAAAATCTCGGGGACCTCCATCGTTTTGTTTTTGAAGTAGTTCGAAAAAATCCTGAGGTTCCCTTGCCTTGTTTTTGAAGTAATTTGAAAGAATCTCGGGGCTCCCGTATTTCGTTTTTGAAGTAGTTTGAAAGAATCTCAGGGGCCTCTTGTCTCTGGTTTTTGAAGTGATTTGAAAGAATCCCGGAGATACCTTTTGTTTTGTTTTTGGAATAGTTTGAAAAAATCTCAGGAACCATTTGTGCCTGGGTTTGTAACTAGTTTCAAGGATGTTGGGGATCCCTTTTCTTTTGTTGCTGAATTAATTCGATAGAATCTCGGAAAACCCTTGTGCCTCGTTTTTGAAATAGTTTGTGAAAGATTTTTGGAACTTGTCTCTCGTTTTTGAAGTAGTTTGAAATAATTTCTAGGAACCCTGTGTCTGGTTTTTGAAGTAGTTTGAAAGAATCTCGGGGACCGCTTGAGTCTCGTTTTTCAAATAGTTTTAAAGCATCTCAGGGAACCCTTGTGCCTGGTTTTTGAAGTAGTCTGAACAACTTCTGGGACTTTTTGTCTCTAGTTTTTGAAGTAGTTTGAAAGAATCTCGGAGACCTCTTGAGTTTCGTTTTTCAAATAGTTTGAAAGCATCTCGAGGAACCCCTGTGCCTGGTTTTTGGAGCAGTCTGAACAACTTCTGGGAATTTTTGGTCTCTGGTTTTTGAAGGAGTTTGAAAAAATCTCGGGGACCTCCATCGTTTTGTTTTTGAAGTAGTTCGAAAAAATCCTGAGGTTCCCTTGCCTTGTTTTTGAAGTAATTTGAAAGAATCTCGGGGCTCCCGTATTTCGTTTTTGAAGTAGTTTGAAAGAATCTCAGGGGCCTCTTGTCTCTGGTTTTTGAAGTGATTTGAAAGAATCCCGGAGATACCTTTTGTTTTGTTTTTGGAATAGTTTGAAAAAATCTCAGGAACCATTTGTGCCTGGGTTTGTAACTAGTTTCAAGGATGTTGGGGATCCCTTTTCTTTTGTTGCTGAATTAATTCGATAGAATCTCGGAAAACCCTTGTGCCTCGTTTTTGAAATAGTTTGTGAAAGATTTTTGGAACTTGTCTCTCGTTTTTGAAGTAGTTTGAAATAATTTCTAGGAACCCTGTGTCTGGTTTTTGAAGTAGTTTGAAAGAATCTCGGGGACCGCTTGAGTCTCGTTTTTCAAATAGTTTTAAAGCATCTCAGGGAACCCTTGTGCCTGGTTTTTGAAGTAGTCTGAACAACTTCTGGGACTTTTTGTCTCTAGTTTTTGAAGTAGTTTGAAAGAATCTCGGAGACCTCTTGAGTTTCGTTTTTCAAATAGTTTGAAAGCATCTCGGGGAACCCTTGTGCCTGGTTTTTGGAGCAGTCTGAACAACTTCTGGGACTTTTTGTCTCTGGTTTTTGAAGGAGTTTGAAAGAATCTCGGGGACCTCCATCGTTTTGTTTTTGAAGTAGTTCGAAAAAATCCTGAGGTTCCCTTGCCTTGTTTTTGAAGTAATTTGAAAGAATCTCGGAGCTCCCGTGTTTCGTTTTTGAAGTAGTTTGAAAGAATCTCAGGGGCCTCTTGTCTCTGGTTTTTGAAGTGATTTGAAAGAATCCCGGAGATACCTTTTGTTTTGTTTTTGGAATACTTTGAAAGAATCTCAGGAACCATTTGTGCCTGGGTTTGCAACTAGTTTGAAGGATGTTGAAGATCCCTTTTCTTTTGTTGCTGAATTAGTTCGATGGAATCTCGGAAAACCCTTGTGCCTCGTTTTTGAAATGGTTTGTGAAAGATTTTTGGAACTTGTCTCTGGTTTTTGAAGTAGTTTGAAATAATTTTTAGTAAACCTGTGTCTGGTTTTTGAAGTAGTTTGAAAGAATCCTGGGGATCCCTTGCCTTCTTTTTGAAGTAAGTTGAAAGAGTCTCGGGGCTCCCGTGTGTTTCATTTTTGAAGCAGCTTGAAAAAATCTTGGGGACCTGTAGGTCTAGTTTTTGAAGTAGTTTGAAAGAACCGCAGAGACCCCTTTTGTTATGTTTTTGAACTAATTTGCGAGAATCTTGAACCTCTGTGTATTTCGTTTTTGAAACTAACGAATCTTGGGGATCTCTTGTCTTCTTGACTTAATGACTCAATTACAATCAATACCGATCACCCACCCGATTCATCCTAGACATTTTTGAAAATCTCGACAAATAAATAATCCCGGAAATTAAGACACAGATAATCACTGACTTAATTAGTTTGCGGCCTTGTAAGACCGGTGTTAGCTTTGCTAACGAGGCGATCAGAATGTACTTAAGTCCAGGCCGTATGCAACTCGCCTCACATTCCGCAGATCTTCTCTCCGTTAAACCAGGTAATTGTCCTTTGTCTTGTACAAGGTTCTTCGAAATTGTATTATTATCTTCATTAAATTGTCAAAGAAGCAAAACAGTGAAACTGAAGAAGCTTTACGGCCGTTCAACGGCAGGAAATTACCAATAAATATGCACTTCCGTAATGACTCAACTACCATTCATGATTTAATATGACTTAATTATGATCCTCCGGGTATTATCGAACACATTGTTCGTAAGATGATCCTAACCTTGAAAGAATCGACTTTTAATGTTTGCCGATCGAGGAATATCAACAAAGCGAGTAAATATCAATCATGCAAGTGAAAACGAAGAGTGCCCGGAGTGTATCCCGTCCCAGATACAAAATCGGGCATCCGAATGAGTTTTTACAATCACAAGGTGAAATTTTTCGATCGTGAGTCGATAATGTGCAGAGTTATTGTTTTTAGTCATGATATGGCAATAGGCGCATTTGGAAGAAAGTGGGGCCACATACGGACTCCGGCAAGTTCAAGAAATTTTGATTTCTATAGATACTAAAAATGAAAGCTTGATAAATCTATGATATTATTAATCAAACAAAACAATGCCAGAGACTGAGATGGGAATTTACGATTAAGCGAACTCTTGAGTACCTACCCTAAAATTTAATCCACTCAAGAGAACAATGATTAGTTTATTTAAGTGTAACAGCCTCTCGTACAAAACTACCATTAGAAAAGATACAATTATCTCGAGATGAGCCGATTACATGATAATACAATATAAACCCCATCATCCTTAACGACTGCATGCTAGTTCCAGGGGGAGAATTCCAAGCAGATGGCCACTCTCAGAGGGTTACCTGGGCCGAACAACAATTAGTTTCACATAGTGGCCGAAAAAAAAATTGATTAATAACTTTACCAGCACATCATTATTCAAAATTATTGTCAGACGACAGATAATATATTAAATCTAATGGTTTTTAATGGGGACAATGCACGTACAATGATGGACCCGTGACAAACGATTAATTCAAAATAATGAACAGTTACTTGGGTCATAATTGGGAATGTTCGTGGTCCATTCATTTTTTGTTGTGTTAAGTTGCCTAATATTTAATAATGTCATTTATGAGCAGTTATTTAATTTTCCTGCATTTTCCATGATGGCATGTAAGTCCTACTTCACACACAAAAAATGTTGCTTCGGTTTCACCACACTTTTCTTTTTCACCTTAAAGATTTTAAACATTCAGGATACCCCGAAGCTTTCAAATAAATCGAATATTTACCCACAATAGTGTAACAAACGTCACAGGATGGACATTCACCTAGTGGTTTTTTGATTACCTGGTTAGGACCATCACAGTTTTCTATGGGTCGACACAAAACTAGAGAACAATTTGGTTCACAGACAACAGATTTGGTAACATCTACCATTAGGGAAAATGAAATGAAAAATATTAGTAAGTTGCGATACATCCTGCACCAATCAGTGAGAAGTTCTTTACTGTACAAAATGGTAACAAAATTTTGTGCAGTGTTTGCAGTTGACGTCAACAATGTCCTTGTAATTCAGGTAAATTGCGACATTCTTAATATTATTTTGAATAAAAATGAGCTTTTGCGTAACTAAATTCTAGTCCAAACCAGTATGGTTGGGTTTCAAACTATGTTACTAATGGTGGATTTTAGTCACAGCATTTAAAATTAAGCCACGTCGACTAATAAGTTTCCGGTTTAAGCGACTTGATCGAAAATGTACCTACCTCATTTTCAAATTTCTGATTACCCGAAACTTCTGAGAATATTTGATGGGTAAAAAGTGTTGACGAAAAGTTGGTGTGTTAAAGAGTAAAGCAAACGAGTGATGGAATGAAGAAAAGGAAATAAAAAAGTGAAGGAGATGAAAAAATAACGGAAGAACGTAAAGAAGAATACAGAAATCAACATGGGACAAGTGAACGTAGATAGCAAGAAAAAATGCTAAAACAACGACGGAACTATTAAAAAGAAATATGGAAACTGAGTGACCTAAAAGAAACACTTATATAGAAACAAAGAACAAAATTCAAGAAGAAACAGTGAGAGCTAAAAAAAGTCCCTAGGAGAATATACGACTACGACTAACAAAGTACCTAACACTGAGACGAGAAATTGAAAGCAAGTGTAAAAGAATTTTCACGCTCTTGTATATTTTTTTTTTTAGAAACTCAAAAGATCTTGAGTCTCTTTGTATTTTGATTCTGATGGTTTGAAAAAATGTTAAGGGCTACTACGTCTTTTTTTAAGAATGCGTAAATAGCTTGAAGTCCCCTTGCATATGAATATGAAATATTTTTGAGAGAAATCGAGATCCCAGGTGTTTTGCATTTTAAAGATTTTAAAAGATTCCAGAGTTCCCTACTATATACGTATTTCAAAGAATTTGAAGCAACTTGAAAAGATCCTAGGGGGTTCCTTATATTTTATTTTGGGAAAGTTTGAAAGACTCTTAAGGGTCGCTAGTGCCTTTTTTAAAGAATACGAAAACACTTACTTTCTTGTCGATTTCGGGCCATAGAAGTCATTTCCGCTTTCATTTCTTCGATAACTCCTACGGTTTTTCCAGAATCGTCCTTTGAAATAAATGAAAAAATATGCAAAATACGACCAATTTTCCACCAATTTTCAACGAAATTTTCGAAATTTCACTAAATACATTTTCTTGTAGATTTCTGGCCGAAGAACTCACTCCCTCTTTCATTTCTTCGATAACTCCAATGGTTATTCCAGAATCGTCGTTTGAGATATATAAAAATATGCAAAATTCGACCAATTTTCGACCAATTTTCAACAAAATTTTCGAAATTTCACTAAATATATTTTCTTGTAGATTTCGGGCCGCAGAAGTCATTTCCGCTTTCACTTCTTCGATTACTCTTATGGTTTTTCCAGAATCGTGCTTTGAAGTATATAAAAATATGCAAAATACAACCAATTTTCGATCAATTTTCAACGAAATTTTCGAAATTTCACTAAATACATTTTCTTGTAGATTTCGGGCCTTAGAAGTCTCTGCCGCTTTTATTTCTTCGATAACTCCAATGGTTCTTCCAGAATCGTCCTCTGAAATATATACAAATATGCAAAATACCACCAATTTTCCATCAATTTTCAACGAAATTTTCGAAATTTCACTAAATATATTTTCTTGAAGATTTCGGGCCGCAGAAGTCACTCCCGCTTTCATTTCTTCAATAACTCCTACGGTTTTTCCAGAATCATCTTTTGAAATACATAAAAATATGCAAAATACGACCAATTTTCGACCAATTTTCAACAAAATTTATGAAATTTCACTACATACATTTTCTTGTAGATTTCGGGCCGGAAAAGTCATTTTCGCTTTCACTTCTTTCGTAACTCCTACGGTTTTTCCAGAATCGTCGTTTGAATATATATAAAAATATGCAAAATACGAACAATTTTCGACCAATTTTCAACGAAATTTTCGAAATTGCACTAAATACATTTTCTTGTAGATTTCGGGCCGCAGAAGTCATTTCCGCTTTCACTTCTTCGATAGCTCCTACGGTTTTTGCAGAATCGTCCTTTGAAATATATAAAAATATGCAAAATACTACCAATTTTCGACCAATTTTCAACAAAATTTTCGAAATTTCACTAAATACATTTTCTTGCAGATTTCGGGCCATAGAAGTCATTTCCGCTTTCATTTCTGCGATAACTCCAATGGTTATTCCAGAATCGTCCTTTGAAATACATAAAAATATGCAAAATACCACCAATTTTGCATCAATTTTCAATGAAATTTTCGAAATTTCACTAAATATATTTTCTTGTAGATTTCGGGCCGCAGAAGTCACTCCCGCTTTCATTTCTTCGATAACTCCAATGGTTATTCCAGAATCGTCCTTTGAAATATATAAAAATATGCAAAATACCACCAATTTTCCATCAATTTTCAACGAAATTTTCGAAATTTCACTGAATACATTTTCTTGTAGATTTCGGGCCGCAGAAGTCACCCCCGCTTTCATTTCTTCGATAACTCCTATGGTTTTTCCAGAATCGTCCTTTGAAATATATAAAATAATACAAAATACACCCAACTTTCGACCAATTTTCAACGAAATTTTCGAAATTTCACTAAATATATTTTCTTGTAGATTTCGGGCCATTGAAGTCATTTCCGCTTTTATTTTTTCGATAACTCCTACGGTTTTTCCAGAATCGTCCTTTGAAATATATCAAAATATGCAAAATATGACCAATTTTCAATGAAATTTTCTTAATTTCACGAAATACATTTTCTTGTTGATTTCGGGTCGCAGAAGACACTCCCGCTTTCATTTCTTCGATAACTCCTAAGATTTTTCCAGAATCGTCCTTTGAAATATATAAAAATATGCAAAATACGACTAATTTTGCATGTTTTGCTTCTGAAAGAGTTTGAAAGAAGTTTAGGGGTCCCTTGAATCTTTTGTAAAAGAGATGAAACAATTTGAAAAGATCATCTTGGTGGTTCCTTGTGGTTTGTTTTTAAAAAGGTCTGAAATAATTTTAGGGAGCTCTAATACCTTTTTTTAAAAAATGTTAAAGAATCTTTGAGGCCTCTTGTGTGTCGTATTTGAAAACATTTAAAAAAATCTGAAAAGATCTTGGGGCTACCTACGTTATGTTTTAAAGAGTTTGAAAAAATTGTAAGCGCTACTGGAAAAAATTTGCAGATATTTCAAGATCCTTGGGTTTTGGTTTTTAAAGAAATTTCAAACAATCCTCAAGATACTTCCTGTTTAGCTTTTGAAAGAGTTTGAAAGAATCTCACGAGTTGATAGTGTCTTTTTCAAAGAATATGAAAGAAAGAACTCCATGCGATTTTAGAAGGTTCCTTGTGTGTTTATAATTTTTAAATATTTTCGAATCCTTCAGTTTTATTCAATAATAATAATTTGAAAAGATATTAGAGGTTCTTTATGATTGTGATTTTGAAATGGTTTGGAAGAATCTTTAGGAGACCAAGTGTCTTAAATATTTAAATATATTTTAAAAATATAGAAGAATCTTTGGGAACCTTGGTGTTTCGTATTTGAAAAAGTTTGAGAGATCTTGATGTTCCTTGTAAAAATTTTAGAGGGCTCGTGTTTTATTTTTGAATGAAATTTCAAACAATCTGCGAGATGCCTGCTGTTTTGCTTCTGAAAGATTTTGAAAGAATTCTAGGGGTCCCTAGCATCTTTTTCCAAGTATATGAAATAATTTGCAAAGATGTGTGTTTGGCATATGAAAACATCAGAACAGATCTTGGCGTTCCTTGTTTGTCTTTTTGCTTCTGAAAGAGTTTGAAAGAATTTTAAGGGCCTCTTGTATTTTTTTCTAAAGGAGATGAAAAATTTTGAAAAGATCTTGTTGGCTTCTTGCGGGTTGTTTTTGAAAGGGTTTGAAAGATTTTTAGAAAGTTCTAATATGTTCTTTAAAAAAACGTAAAAGATTCTTTGGGGCTCGTTATGTTTTGTATTTGAAAAAATCTGAAAGATCTTGGGGCGTATTGTGTGTTGTTTTTGAAAGAGTTTGAAAAATCTTGAGGTCACTAGGGTCTTTTTTAAGAATAAAACAAATTTGAAACAACCCCGAGGTCCCAGGTGCTTTAGTTTTTAAATTTTGAAAGAATCTTTAGAGGTCCTGGTACCTTTTCAAAAAATATGAAACAATTTGAAACGATCTTAGGAGGTTACTTGAGTTTTTGAAAGAGTTTGAAAAAATATTAACAGCTACTGATGTATTTTTAAAATTTTGTAAGTAGCTTTGAGTCCCCTTGTGTTTTATTTTTGAAAAAATTTGAAACAACCCCAAGATCCCAAGTGTTTGGCTTTGAAGGAATTTTAGAGGTCCCCAGTATCTTTATTAAAGAGTAATGAAATAATGAAAAGATCTTGGAACTTCCTTGTATTTTGTTTTTGAAAAGATGTGTTTCCAGAAATGTTAAACTTTAAATTGTTAGGTGACACCATGAGTTTTATTTTCTCGACTTCTCCAGAACACTGGATCTCTGTGTATTTTATCTAGGTTGATACAATTTCATCACTCTCTACGACTTCTTCGTTACTATTACGAATTATTACCTTGTATCTTCAATTTCGTTAAATTTTGCTTCTTTCTTAAATTCCTTTGTAAATCATTGTTTATTATAAAGTTATTCCATTTTGGAAGCGCTACCTAACGGTGACTTGCCTCCACGCACCTTTTCAACATTTTTCTAACAAATTTTAATAAGTTTTAAGCACTATAAACCATAAACCGCTGACACCTCAATACCAATCCCCCGCTTCTCCGTTATCACCAATGACATAAAAACGTCCAACTCCGTATGAATTCTCTCGCACGCCTCCCATAAAATCCAAAAGCACGTTATAAAGCCATAAACTTACGTATTCTTCCTATCTGACCCGCAGACACCCGGATAAAATACTGACGACTCACTTCTGCGGTTC